AAGGCCATCAGTTTAACTCTGTACTACAACAAACAAACATGGCTAAACCAGCAGGGCGAGCGGCGGCGTTCTCTCTTGATGACGAGTCGTGGGCTACGGGAGTGCTGTTGTGAACGTCGCAAGATGCCAGCCAGGGAATGAGCGGTTTGTCATCAGCACCCGCAGTCGCGGCCATTAACACAAGGCCCTGAGGTCCTGGTGATCTGGATTCGATTGCTCGCCGTGGCCCACAGTGTCAACCTGAGCTGGGCCTCTTCAAGGTCGACTCAGTCAAATATGGCTTAAAGTGCATGCTATTGGTGCATGATATTGGCCCTACCAGTCAGATGATAACTGGAATTAAGAGTGTATATTCTTAGGTTTTTTCGGTAAAGTCACGTAGGTAAAAAATTCAAATTAATAAAAGTAAAATAAAAATAAAATAAAAAAATAAAAATCACGACGTTTCGGAGGCAATACTTTTTATAAATTTAAATTTTTTACCTACGTGACTTTACCGAAAAAACCTAAAAATATGAATCCTTGCAGTCACGAAAGCTTCAAATCTAGAATTAAGAGTGTATCTCTGACATACAAATAAATACGAAACTTCAACATACAGACTGGGGTTAGAGTTGCTAGCAAGTGCCTGTTAGGGCAGGGACACTGTCCCCATTTGAAATGATCACACACACACACACACCATCCATTATTCATTGAAGGCTGAGTCAACTTAGGAGAGACCCAGGATTGGCTTAGATTTCACTTATCATGGATCTTTTCCACTGTGCCACCCCTCACGATATACAATGACAAAGGGCTTCTGTATAGCCGCATAGGCTGCTGGGGCAAGTGCACTTAGTGAGCACCCACGGGGTGTGGTGAGAACCATGCCTAGCCACCTTTGTCTTCCCGGTAGTGATGCTTCCGCACTGCACCACGTAACCCCCATTTAGGGATCAGTTGATCTCAAGGAAGTCTGGGAATCGGAGTCTAGTTACTGGATTTACGATGCAATGCACTAACCACTGTGCCATCAGTCCCAACATACACAAAGATGTACAGACACACTCACATATACACACAAATATATATATATATAAATAAAGACAAAGATCCTCTGTATAGCCTTTACCAGACTGTTGGAGCAAGTGCTGTTAGAGAGCACTTACAAAGTCCGGAACGGAACACGAGGGGGTGGGTGGCCAGCACCACGACCGGCCGCCTTTGTCTCCCCAGTTGCGATGTTTACACACCGCACCAGTCGACCTAGCGGAGGCCCTGTATCGATTCAGATAATCTTTACCGGTGTTGGCCGTGAGTGGGAATCAAACTCAGGTCGTCGGGTTCGCAGTACAGCGAGCTAACCACTACATTACCGCTCCCCACATACACACACACACAAAGACACACATACAACACAGAATAATAACATGCGCACTATACCCCTTTGTACCTTAAACTTTCCCTTAATTCACATTTATTTTTGCGTAACATTTAGAGCTCGCATTAAAAACACATACTTTTTTTTTGCAACGCAATAAAAATGTGCCAATAAAATCTCAACGTATATATTAAAATTATGAATGTATAATTTAACGCCTGTGTCAAGGGTCCCATTTTTTTACGATTGTAAAAAAAAAAAAGTATTCATTAAGTAACACTGAAGATAACGTGATGCATCACCGATATTATAATGTAATCCTATTTTTATCGCCCCGCTCTGATTAGTTTTCAGAGCGTACAGCATAACTGCTCGCTAATAATGTCCGCGTGCTTCCGCAGTGCAACGGTGGGATGCTACGAGGGCACTGTGGTGGGACCAGTGACACACGTGAAGCAACAAGCGTGCACCGCAACACCCGCAAGGCGTCCCAGCGCGCACGCGTTCATTCGAAGCATTGCAGCCCACCGTTACATCATCCCACGTGACACCCTGAGCTGCTCCACCTAAATCAATCCGACCACCTGAGTGTCCGCTCCACATTCGAGAACTTGTCCACGCGATCAAGAGAAACAAATATCTGTCGGTGGTCAACCCAGCCCATCGTCTCTTCATCACCCCGATCATTCTACGGTTCAAATAAAAGCAAGCGCCACTTCGTGACGAGCGAAGAGTGATGATCTTATGGATAGATAGAAGCGTCTATGTGGAGCATCCCAGCGAGCCGGCTCAACTTGGATCCAACATATGGAGATGGGTGCCATCCCATTGCTAATTTGAGCAGCAAGATGCCTCGACCTGACTAACTCAAATCGGCAGTGGGTACGTACTGTGCACGTATGGAATAAATGAAATGCCAAAAAAAGGACACACAACATTGAGTAACTACGGAAATGTGTTCTTAAAATATGTAATATATGTTCGTCATCTTCAGCCATGGTTCATCCACTGCTGGATGAAAGCCTCCCCAAGTTGATGCAAACTTTCACAATCCTGTGAGGTAATGCACCGCTTTGAAGCTGCACACAGACGTTTCTTTTATCGTTCCATCTCCTCAGTTTACGTAACTTTTCTTCGTGCTCATCAATAATGCACGTATAAATTGTGATGTATTTATAACTGTTAGATTTGTCTCTCGCTTTGACGTTTTTATTTACACCCTCCGCAGATTTTAGGCCACGCACAGCGCCAGTAGAAATCGGCGTAACCACCAAGCCTAGATTTCCGTGGCTCACCCAGTTCTTGTGAAAAATGGAATGGTCCAAATGCAATCACACACCTGCAGTGACACTCAAGGACAGGTGTGGGGGTATTTGATTTGGAGTAATCTACATGTGTGGTGCAGGAGAGCCATTGGGGAATTGAAGGCTATCTGTGGGTGAGTGTAAGAAATGCTCATGCAGCGTACACAAAGGCACATTTGTTTTTGCAATTGTGCAAAAATGTGCGTGTGCATGTTGAATGTTCGTGTATGCATGCAAATGCAATATTGTACACACCACAGCGATTAGGCTGTAGATGAACCTGCCCTGGTTCTCCCTTCATTTGGTAAAAAAAGACAAAGCTGCAGCCCTGCAATTGCTCACTGTACTTCTGCCAGAAGGGCCTCCGCGAGAGGGAGCTCTTGAGAGTATATTGGCCTCCTCTTCCACGCTGGGTGCCATCGTGGCAAGATGTTAACTACCTCGCCTGGTACGCAGGAGGTCGCGGGTTTGATCCCGACCCTGACACCGCTATATTTGGAGTTTGCATGCCTCTCTCACGGTGATCGCGTGGAATTTTCTCTCCACATTTAGAAACATGCGCTTATAGAGTATTTGGCTGATATTAATTTCCACGTGATAAGCCACTTTGTTGAGCTATCATTCGTGGCCAGGTCGCTTCTGAAAAATATAATATAAATATATATGGCTCAGTGGATCTTACCTGGTAAAATAAAATGTATTTTTTGTTTGTATTTTTGAAGAGGTTGGAGCACCCACACTTTACCCCACCACACGTGGACCTGCCGTTCTACTCACCATAAGTGAATCCACCTCGACTGCTGGGTGGACAGACTCGGGGGCCCTTCGAGACTTGCCCAGTATCTCAACTACCACGCCAGGAGATTTAAGCGGTGACCTCTGGATTGCAAGTCCAGTGTGATAACCGTTACACCGCGGCAACAATGCCCCCCCCCCCGCGCCCCCCCAATTGACTCTGCCTTTAATGAGGACCCAGTGTGGCACATAAAAACATCGGCAGTGGAGAGACAAAGGCGGATGGACGTGGTACCGGCCCCATTGAACGTCATACACTGTGCAAGCCATAAAGGTGTTCTCTAACAGGGATCTTTGATGCTTTTAAACTAAGTTGGATGGCCGGTAGCAGTTGCCCTCCAGAAATGTTACACAGGATCAAGGCTTGAACCAATCACGGAGAGATTTGCGCTGCTAAAACACAGCAAGGTCTCAGTGGGGAGTACTGGTGCTGCATACACTAACCACCTTGGTCTTCTAGCGCACAGCGTGAGTTTGTGGTCCATAGGTACCCTCCGTTATTCCATTCAGCCTTGAAGTGCAACATCGAGCATCCCCTGGCCAGCTAGACAGTACTCCACAGCCACCAAACCTGCTTATTTGCTGAGATCTGATGAGATTATTGATGATTGTATATGCTACGTGCCGTGCACAGTGTGTCATTGCAAGGCAGAGATGGGTAAAAGACATTAATATTACAAATTACTGGATTAAATGTAACCAGAAACAAATGACCAATTTCACCGTATCTCACGCAATTCTGATACAAATTGCCAATTACTTTGAGGTATGCAATTTAGATACCAATTAAAAATTACAACTGTAATGAATTTACACAATTTAAATTAAATGTAATTTAGATAATTCCTATCTTTGATATTTCACTCTGTCGTTCTGTACGTGGGAGCGCTGGGCAGCTAAAATGTGGCAAGTTGGCACAGTAGGGGGCACAGCTGGTGTACATCTGCCAGTCATCTCAGTCGGTCAACCCATGGCAACTTCTGTCTGTTCCGAGACCTCCTGCCAGCAGTGAGCTTTCGACACTTCACGTGGCCATGGTCACGTCGCTGCCACTTAGTGGTGGATGGCAGGTGTTGTTGTTGAGTGAGTGAGTGTGTGAGTGAATAAGCATGTGAGTGAGTGGTGCGGAGCAGGTAGCGTGGCGGTTAGCGCGCTGTGCTACGAACCCGGCGACCCGAGTTCGAGTCCCGATCACGATTATTTTAACCGGTCCGGAGCCTCCCCTAGGTCGACTCAGCGTGACGTGGATAAAAAAACATAAAATAAAAAAATGAATAAAGTGTAAATATTTATTTCCCAGCAGCCACCCTTTGTGCTCCCCCCAAATGAGTACTCGATGTGATGTGTAAACATTGCCACTAGGGAGACAAAGGTGGTCGGGCTTGGTACTGGCCACCTACCCTCCCGTGTACCGAGCCAACCTTCATAGGTTGCTGCTCGCTACCAGCACCCGCCCCAACAATTTGCCCAGGCTACACGGGAGACCTCTGTCTTTGAGTCAGTGAGTGAGCAGGCGAGTGAGGGAACAGCGATCCCACCTCCATGCCGCTGTGCGGAGACCCAGGGCTGGGTGGGCCCCTGGCGGAGCGGCGTGGGTAGGGGCCCCACGTGACCCCGGCCTGCAGGGCGATGCGGGTTCTCACCCCTCGCCTCTCTGAGTCCAACTCCCCCATCTCCAGCTCGCCTGCGCGCACACACACAAACGCGCACACGCACACACGCGCACGCACGCACACACACGCACACGCACGCACGCGCACGCACGCGCACACACGCACGCGCACGCACACACACGCGCACACACGCACGGGGAACCGGCGGTCACGCGGTGAGCAACAGTTGCATCGTCTCTTTCGCCAATTAAATTAAGAAGAAGAAGAAAAATAAAATATAATAATTCACGGCCTACTATCTATAGTCGGGAAAAGCGCAACTTCCACGGTCGGCATGGGTCCCTACTCTCCACAACCGTCATGGGCAATATTGAACATATTTCGATTTAAAGCCTTCGTGACTGCAGGGATTCATCTTCTTGGTTCTTTCGGTAAAGTCACGTAGAAGTGAAGTAATAAAATTATAAAAATAAAACGTAATAAAATAATTCTCACGACGTTTCGGCCACAACGCAAGCAGCCGTCCTCAGGTGAAGACCAGGTCTGTCGGGGAGACAGCTGTTTTATTTTTTTATTATTTTATTCCTTCCCTTCTACGTGACTTTACCGAAAGAACCAAGAAGAATATTGAACATACTTCACCACACTGGTCAGTGTGTGATGGTGAAGCGTGGGAGGACCCAGAACTGGTTGAGGAATCACTCGTGACTTTGATTCCGTGGCCGGGAATCAAAGTCCCGTCGTAGGTTTCATAGCGCAGTGTGTTAACCAGTGGCCCCACCACGCCACCGAATTTCATCATCGGGGTAAATTGCTCGTTTCTCAGTCTGCTTGTCCTGGTGAGGGTCGCGGCGGCAGCGTGTTGAGTAGTGGCGGTCCAGACATCCCACTCCCTGGCGACAGACTCTAGCTCTACATTACTATACACTACTACACTATACACTACTATACACTACTACACTATACACTACACTACTACACTACATTACTATACACTATTACACTATACACTACACTACATTACTATACACTACTACACTATACACTACACTATACACTACTACACTATACACTACTATACACTATACACTACATTACTATACACTACTACACTATACACTACACTACATTACTATACACTACTACACTATACACTACTATACTACACTATACACTACTATACACTACTACACTATACACTACACTACTACACTACATTACTATACACTACTACACTATACACTACACTACTATACACTACACTACTACACTATACACTACTACACTATACACTACACTACTATACACTACTACACTACATTACTATACACTACTACACTATACACTACACTACTATACACTACTACACTACATTACTATACACTACTACACTATACACTACACTACTATACACTACTACACTACATTACTATACACTACTACACTATACACTACACTACTATACACTACTACACTACATTACTATACACTACTACACTATACACTACTATACACTACTACACTACATTACTATACACTACATTACTATACACTACTATACACTACTACACTACATTACTATACACTACTACACTACTACACTATACACTACACTACTATACACTACTACACTATACACTACACTACTACACTACATTACTATACACTACTACACTATACACTACACTACTATACACTACTACACTACATTACTATACACTACTACACTATACACTACTATACACTACTACACTACATTACTATACACTACTACACTACATTACTATACACTACTACACTACATTACTATACACTACTACACTACATTACTATACACTACTACACTATATACTACTATACACAGACTATTGCTCTTCCTGGGGAATTCCCAGGCGTTCCCAGGCCATAGGGGTAATGTAAATTATTATTGTTATTATAAAAATGAAGATGGTAATCATCATCTTCATGATAATTATCATCTTCATGTTGAAACAAAATCAACATCCTCATGGTAAGTATACTGCCCGTCTTCATCACCGTCATCAAATAAAACAATCGTCAGTGTAAACAAACTCATCATCTTGCTGGCAAGAAAACATCATCATTGACATTGTAAACAATTATATCACGAGTATGAACAGGAATTAATATATAAGCAATATCGTGAGCATATTGATGAAAGCATCATCATACATATCAATAATAGGCTACTAAAAATAGAGTTAATGTCATCACAACAATAACATGGAATCACCATCATAATCATCGTCAACCCGATTTCATCTTCACGAGCATCATTACAATCAGGGTTTTTGCAAATGTCATCACAGGAAGAGTGACGCACATCATTGTCACAAACTTCATACATCGTGAACCTTCCTATATCGGGTGCCAACCAGGATTCAATTTTCCACCAATGCAACGAGTTGAATCTCTCTCTATTCGGGTGACGGAATTCCCGAGCTGTATAGAAGCAGTTGCAATTGTAATCGGTGAGGTTAAGTGTAACATTTTCTCTTCAATACAGTTTCCTTTGGTTAGCATCTCCAATACGTTTCCCTCAACGTAATTTTCGAGTGAAGGATCTAATAACCATACCAAAGTCTATACCGAAATATAAACCGCATTTACAATTCACACCGGCGTGACTTTAAACATCTACCACACATGGTGTGCATATCTATAGAATGTAAGATTATTATAAAATACCGTCAACACATCTTTAAGACAACACATTATCGTGATTAACGAGAAATATATAATATTCGCCTGCACATGTTTACAGACAAGAGTCGCTTGGGACTTGCCTAGGTAAATGTGATCAGTAGCAGCTCGAGGCTGACAAACGCAACCGAGCATGTGTGCTGATGGCCATGGTACATGCTGTGTCCTGCATAAGCCTTAACAGGTGCTCGCAGAAAAAGTTTGCCCACAGCAGCCCATAAACCTACACAAAAGCAGGATCTTGCATGAGTGTACACATGGAAGAATTATTTATTTGTACAACATATTTGAATGACACGTTACCTTGATCATAAATCTATTTCATGTCATTTCCAAAAGGAGAAACGGCGAACAGGTGCTGGTTTAGATAAATATTTGATAACAAAAAAAACATATCAAACACTTTATCTGGAAAGTGTATGAGGTGGGGAGGGAGTGGATATGAGGCCACAATGTTGGTAAGCAGCTTGCACTAAAACGCTATCTGCGGAGAATGATACAAAATAAAAAATAAAATCACGGCAATGAAAATCATAAAAACTCAGTGCAAGGTGAGAAAAAAAGAGAAATGAAAAGCAAGCTATTGTAGAACGGGAGGGATGCTTTTTTAACCTCGCTTCCTTTCGCAAATATTTTCACTCCAGCAGCCTTCGCCGGCACGCACGCATTAGTCAGCCACAGCCCATGAGCCGCGTCGCGATTCAAATACTTCAAGAGACGACGGACTCTGCTGTGGGTGCGTGCCAGCGCTAGCGTCAGCACCAGCGCGGGCAATCGGGACTCGGCTGCGGTGGTACGCGCCGCCCTTCAACGTTGATCTGTACGTTCGCGGCGGACTGTCACCCAAAGGGTTAATGGAAAGCTGGCGGTAACATGACAGCAGATTTGTGTTTGTGTGCAGCACAGGAGTCGCAGCAGCAGCAGCAACCCACACACGCGGGCGGGCGGGCGGGTGGGCGAGAGGCATGGGCTCAACCCGCACACCGGCAAGAAAGGAGGCGACCGTTTATCAATCCAATTATCGTCATAATTGTGTCGGTGGCTGGCGTTCATCAAAATGTGCCGACGCCGGCAGATATGGGTAATGAACCGATTCGTGGCCGGACAAAAACTTCCAATTTCTCCGTCACGTACCGGCCCTTTCGCAACCAATTCCTTGCGGCAACCTCTGTACCCGACGCATAAACATGCACCCACGCACACGCATGCGACACCGCGTCCCATGCGCCACCTCCACAACCCGTCAGCGGCAACCACTACTCTGCCTCCTGGAAAGACCCTGCCCTCCAAGTCCATCTGCTTATCTGACACGTGTGCTGATAGGGAGCACTGTTCTGTGCGCAGCTTTGACTCGCTGCTCCTGTGAACATTCGCAAGCTCCCATACACAGTTTTATTTTGTATGCTCTGCCCCAGTCTCAAGTTGGCCCAACTGTGCATCCACAGATTACCAATTTATTTTCAGATTTTTTTTGCCGACTTGGGTTGAATAATTATTCCCGACACGAGTTGGAGACATCGCGTGAACTGGGCAGGACATGTCGCTTGAAGATTTGATGGCCAGTGGTCGAGACTTAATGATGTAGTAGTAGCGGCCAAAGCAACGAACACGCCCGTGGTGGCGCGACGAATTCAGCTCATGCGCAGGAGCATGGTGGTTGCATCGTAGGAGTGAGAGCGATTGCAATGGCTTGGAGATCCCTTCATTGAGCAGTGGATATATCAAGGTCTACGAAGATTAGGATCTGTTTAATCACAGGACGACGTGTAGCTCGGTTTAAGCTCAGGACTTAAAAAGCGGCGAGTTCCAATAACCTCCATTATTCATTTGAGGACAATTAAATGATTCTAATGAGGCTTCAACCGCCCACAGGCACTGCCATTGGAATATGGAATTTCCACTACCAACTGGCTCAGAATATCCAAGTGGACAAATGCTGCCTCATGAGCATTTGAGCAAGGGAACACTAACTCGAAAAGAATGAATTTGGTTAAATAAATGTGCCCCTTTGTCTAATCGACATGTGCCAATGCTTCAAGTGCAAACTCATAAACTCTGGCACGATGACCACTCTTGTTTTCCCACAAAGTGGTACTGATTTTATTGACTCTGGAGGGATGATGATGATAGGCTATGTTAACTACCGACATGTGATTTGAAGTCATAGCCTTTTGAATGAGAGCTGAACATTCAATACATAGCACCATCTGGCCAGATTAACAATGGCACAAATGACACTGACACAATGACAGAGACGCATAATGACCAACTATGTGTGATTTATACTCTTTATGTATACCCAGGCACTGCTGTTGTCAATGAGATATGCGGTAATTACCGCTATCAT